GCTCTTTGGGAAGGGGCCTGGGGGTCCTGGTGGCCAACAAGCTCCACAGGAGTGAGCAGGGTGCTGCTATGGCCAAGGTGGCCAACAGGGTGCTGGGGGGGTGTCACCAAGGGCATCACCAGCAGGGATAAGGGAGTCATCATCCCACTCCTCTCAGCGCTGGCCAGGCCCCACCTGGAATCCTGTGCCAAGTTCTGGTCCCAAAAAAGCTGTGGGCAGGCTGGAGGGGCCCAGAGCAGGGCCACCAAGGTGACCCAAGGGCTGGGAAGCCTCTCTCAGCCGTATGGGGATGGGCCGAGAGCACTGGGTTTGTTCAGCCTGGAGCAAAGGAGGCTCAGAAGGGGTCTCATCTCCATGTACCAGTACCTAGGGGTGGCTACAGGGAAGATGGAGACTCCCTTGTCACAAGGAGTCCCATGGAGAGGACAAGGGGGAATGGACACAAGTTGCTCTGGGGGAGATGTCGATTGGACAGGAGAGGGAAATGTTTCCCCATGAGAACAGTCAACCCTTGGAATAATCTGCCCAGGAGAGGGGTTGACTCTGCCACATTGGACTCAGCTGGACAGGGTGCTGGGCCATCTTGTCTAGACTGTGTTCTTACCTAGAAAGGTTGGACCAGATGATCCTGGAGATCCCTTCCAACCTGGGATTCTCTGATTCTGGGATTCTCTGATTCTGGGATTCTATGATTCTGGGATTCTGTCATTGTCATCTGTCACCAAGGTGGGCTGAGTAGGATGGACTGGGATGTGAAGGGCTGAGTAGAAGGCTCCCCTTACTGACTTCCATTGTCAGCCTGTGGAAGGGAGAAGATCTATATGGTGCATTGAACTGGGGAGCTAAGGGGAACCTCATCAGCTTTTGATGGGGAAAATGTCTAAAGCTCATTCAAGAGGTCTCCCCAGCCAGGCTCTACCTTCTTTCTTCCTCAGTCCATTGCAGAGGAAAGCTGCTCTGCTAATAAGTATGAAGCATGATTGAATCATCTCCTGTCTGACGTTTTTCTTGCCTCCTGCTGAGATAGTGACGTTGTCTGTAGGTTGGGCTGGGGTACTAACGTCCCCAAAGCTAAAGCATGGCATCTGAATTTGTGCAGCGAAAACCCACTTGAAGGCTGGGGGAAACAGTGCCTGAACAGATCTGATGAGGGACCCTGGGCAGTGTCCCACAAATGACACAACTGAGGGTTCCTCCTTGCTCCATGAGACTGCTGTTGTGTGGCTTTCACTCTCCAAAGAGCAGGATATCTTTGGCCCTTGACGCTGTGCTACCTCTCCCCAGCTCCTCAAGGAATGCAGCCAGATGAGGAAGGCAGGGCTGCCATGACTTCGGGACAACAGCCCTGAGATCATTAGGGCACTGTAGAGGAGCCAATTAGCCGGTGTTTTCCTCAGTTTACAACCCAGGGTGGCTCAGAAATGGCTTCAAAGCCAGGCCACTGATGGCCCTCCAGAGGGCAGGTGGCTCCAGGGCTGTTCTGAGCTGGCTGGTCCCAGGTCAGGAGCATTTACAGACACCCCCTCTTTTCTCCCCTCCTCCATAACAGAAGTAAGGAAGAAATGCTCTCCTGGATCCTGAGAATCAACCTTGTTGCTGCCATTTTCTCTGCCCCAGCCTTCCCAGCTGCAATCTGCTCCATGAAGAAGTTCTGCCGCCCCCTCCTGCCTTCATCCATGACCAAGCTGTGCCAGGTAATGAGTGAGAGAAGGAGCAATGGAGGGGTGCCCAGCGCCCAGCCCACCCTTCGGCATGCAGCTCGGTTTGAGCCCCTCTGCAGCTCCCCCAGCTCCCATCTCACAGAGACATTCAGGAGCTCAGGGCAGGAATAGGGGAGTGGAGTGGGTGGCTTGGACAGACCTTGGCAATTCCCGCTGTCTGGCCAATGTGTCCTTTGCAATGGCTACAAAGCAACTCCATGCACACACGCCTGCCTGTATGGATGTTGATTCCGGCCTGTTGCTCTTTGCCCACCACATCCCAGCACCTTTCTGTTGTTGGAGTTCAAACAGCTGGGGCTACTGTGCCCCACAACTGGCTACAGCCCTGGTTTATTCTATAGCATGGCACATGGAGGTGGCACTTGAAGTTGGCGCTCGGAGGTGGCGCTTGGAGGTGGCGCTTGGAGGTGGCGCTCGGAGGAGGCACCCTGTTGTTTCTCAAGCCAAAAAGCCCCAGACGAAGGGGGAGTCTGAGTCCCACTCAGTGGGGAAGGTTTTCTGGAAGCAAGGGGGCACGGAGAAGCAGACCATGGCTACCTAAGGCTCAGTTAGCCGAGGGCAATGGGCAGCTGCCATCCAAAGAGCAGCTTTTGTTTGCACTGTCCAGGGAAAGCCCAACATTCCTTGTCACCTCCAGAAAGTAGGGGCACACTGCCACTGTCCCCTAGCAAAGGGGAGAACAGCCTGAAACTGCAGAGCAGAGAAAAAAAATGTGGCCAGATGTTGCCTTCCTCAGAGCCCAGATTGGGGGGTGGGGGGGGAGTACTTTTATCTCAAAAAAGAGCAGGGTGAGCAGCTCTTGGGACACTTCTGGTTCTGCTTGGCTGTTAAAGGAGGCAGAGCATTTCGTGTTTATGCTGCTAAAGAAGCCCAGGTGCCAGAGAAATCCGCTCTTGGCACTTGCGATGCACGAGTCCTGATGTCACCCAAATCCCTGTGTTTCAGCTGCTTCTTATCAGATGAACTTGCAAAGGTACTGCCCACCTTTGGCTCCAGCAGAGCAGCTAAGCTCGCGCCCTCGCAGAGACAGATCCCGCATCAGAGGGCAGGTGGGGCGCTCGGGTGCTGCGCTCCTACTTCTTAATACCTGACACGCTTCTCTTGGCAGGAGGAACAGCTGAAGTCTCATGAAAATAAAATGAAGCAGATTGCAGACGAATTAGCAGAGCATAAATTGCATCCTGTGGAGAAGAGCCTCAAGTCGAAAGAGGCTGAGGAATACAGACTCAAAGAACATTACCTAATATTTGAGGTAAAGGAGCTTTCATCTTTTCTGTGATAAATGATACCTTGGCTGATTGAGGAGAACTGAGAACTGCCGAGTGGATGCTGTGAGCCTGGGAGCGCGTGAAAGGAGAGAGGAGGACGAGGGCTCACGAGCTGGATGGGTGTCTTGGGGCAGCAACAATCTTCCCTGTTTTTCACTGAAGCTAAAAAAAGAAATAACAGACATTTCCTCCCCTCTGTGATTTCTAACCAGAGGAGGGGAAAACTGATGAAAGAAATAACATCTTCCTTTACTATGCTGAAACTTGGTATTTTCTCAGGTCCCAAGTAAGAAAAAAAAAAATTCTCGGTGTGCATCAGTCTTCTCCAGCATCATTAATAAAAAGCTAAGGGGAGAATCCCTGGGGGAATTGATCCTGTTTTGCTGCAAGTGTTTCTGTAAATAAAACCCAAACCAGTGTTACAGCTGATTACAGGGTCTTTGAGGATGCGGGTAGCTAAGTTTAAATTCTCTGCAAAGCCCTAGCAGCATTTAATTGTGGGAGAAATGGGATATTTTGTTCCAGTGAGAGCTGAGCAGGAGATGCGATTCCTGCCCATAGGTGTCAGTGGGAAGGGGCTGCTGGAGGCCTCTAGTCCTGCTCCCAGAAGGAGCTTGGATTATTCCCAGTATTAGCCGAGGCTGAGTATGTTATTTGGTGGCCGAGTCTCAGCAACCTCCAAGGATGGGAATGTCCCACCTCCCACACACCAGGGCCACACCACCCTTTTGTGTAACACCCAGCCTGACCCTCCAAAGCCACAGCTTCTGGCTGCTGGTTCCCTTTCCTTTGTACCAGCCCTTCAAATAGTCCCTTGCTGCTGCCTCCTGTTTTCCAAACATCTTGTTTTGGATGCCTGCAGGGAAGTCTCCATCTGAGCGTTTTCTCTAGGCTGCCTTTCCAGTCTGCAGGGAGAAACTGGCGCTTCCAGAGCATAATTCATCTCATCTGTCTTATGAGATGTGCTCTAGAAATGCCTGTTCCTCTGTGCTGCCAAAGAAGTGCGCATAGGCTGCCTCAGAGATGTTAGGGGGAAGGACGAGTGTTATGCAAGTCTGTAAAGAGAGGTCTCATCTAGCTTTGGAATAGAGGTCCCAGGCTGAGAGGAGATGCCTGCTTTATGCTGTGCTCCGTGCAGAGCAATGGGGGCACGACTCAGCAGTAACGAATGAATCAGTGGATGGAAACCATGGCAAGCAGAAGTATTTGGATCAATTGAGGGGAACTCCCAAATCAGGAGGGAGCAGATCTGTTGGTCTGGTTTTGCCTCCAGTATCTGCCCTACACCATCAGAGTGGCAGTCAGGACCCGTAAGATCAACTGGAGAGCCTTGCACAGCCCTCCCTTTCTCCTCAACCCTTTCAGTGATGGGCTGATCGGTGTTTGCAGGCGCTGCATCGATCAGGCATTGGGCTGTGGTTAAACAACACTTGCTGGGTGTGATTAGCAGGATCCTGGCAATGTAGGATGGGTTTTCCTGCAGCAGCAGATGGCACTGCCTCTGCTTTCCACACATGCTGTGGCCTGTTCCTGTTCCCCGGCTCTCTGTTCC